ATTTCAGTCCTGCCTTTTATTGTTGTTGTTGTTAGGTGCCATCGAGTCAGCTCTGACTCATAGCGACACGATGTACAACAGAACAAAACACTGCCTGGTCTTTTACGATCCTCACAGTAGTTTTGTTTGAGCCACGGTGTCTCTCGGTCTCATTTCCTCTTTTTCGCTGATCCTCTACTTTACCATGCATGGTGTCCTTTTCCAGGGACTGATCTAATAACATGATCTAATAACATATCCAAAGTACATGAGAGAAGTTTCAACATTCTCACTTCCAAGGAGCATTCTGGCTGTACTTCTTCCAAGATAGAGTCATTTGTTCTCCTAGTATTCCATAAGACACTCTGGTAGTGTAGTGGTTACGAGTTGGGCTGTTAACCTCAAGGTCAGCAGTTCAAAACTACCAGCCATTCTGTGGGAGAAAGATGAGGCTTTCTGCTCCCGTAAAGACTCCACAGCACACCACCACCACCACCAGTAGTCCATGGTACAATCAATATTCTTTACCAACACCACAGTTCCAATGTGTCAATTCTTCTCTGGTATTACTTATTCATTGACCAGCTTTTACATGTACATGATGTGATTGAAAATACCATAGCTTGGGTCAGGCGCCCCTTAGTTCTCTAAGTGATGTCTTTGCTTTTGAACACTTTGAAGAGGTCTTTTGCAGCAGATTTGCCCAATGCAATACATTGTTTGAGTTCTTGACTACTGCTTCCATAAGTATTGATTGTGGACCCAAGTAAAATGAAATCCGTGACATCTTCAATCTTTTTTTCCAGTTTATCATGATGTTATTTATTGGTCCAGTTGTGAGGATTTTTGTTTTCCCTCACTGACTTGTAATCCATACTGAAAGCTGTAGTCTTTGATCTTCATCAGCCAATGCTTCAAGTTCTCTTTATTTTCAGCAAGAAACGTTGTATCATCTGCATATCATGGATTGTGATAGCCTTGCTCTAATCCTGAAGCCACATTCTTCTTCATATAGTCCAGCTTCTTGGATCATTTGTTAAGCATACAGATTGAATAAATATGGTGAAAGCATACAACCCTGACAAACACCTTTCTGATTATAAACCATGAAGTATCCCTTTGTTCTGTTTGAATGACTACCTCTTGTTTTATGTGTAGGTTCTACATGAACACTGTTAAGTGTTCTGGAATTCCCATTCTTCTCAATGTTACCCATCAAAAATGGCTCCAATTCATAGCAACTCCATGTATAACAGAACATGGTACTGCACCATCTTCATGATCATTGGTATGTTTCAGTCTATTACTGTAGCCCTTCCTTAAACTCCCTAAAAAGTGCCTGGTGTTGTACTGGCCCTTAGAGATGGAGAGGTGAAGTTTCTGATCTAAAAGGACAAGAAAAGCTTGGAATGTCCAAGTGACGCTGATGTGCTTTGATAGTATATGAGAATTTGGGAAAGTCTTCATGAAAAGACTAGTCAATTGCTCAAAATTCCAACTGAAAGGAAAGGATTCTTCATATCAAGGACCAAGCTTGTCCCCTCAGTACACTGAGTTGATAGGGAAGGGCAACTTAGACATTGGCTACCAAAAACGGGGCTATAAAGGTACAAAGTGGCTGGCATACAAGTTTTCATGAATGAAAACTTGAATAAGAGGGTAAGGTATAATCCTCACTGGATAGTTTTCCACTTGTCCACGTGGGTCTGGTGACAGGGAATGGGGAAGGATGGGGATAGGATTTTTTTTTTATTCAATAGTGAGTAATTGTTATCATGATGAATTGCAATGGTCACAACTGTAAATGTAGAAGTGAAACTAAAAGCACTTAATTTTTCATTCCCGGAACAGAGGACCCTAGGACCATCAAGAGCAAAGAGCATGGGATCCTAACCAGAGAAGCAGCAACAGCAAAAATGGTGGTCAAGGTGATGGCATAGAGAGAAAGAGCAGCTAAGGACACTAGGCCCATGGACTGAGAAAGGCTGTGTACCTGCGGGCTTGCAAAATGTGACCTTGGGACACTTAAATGAATATATATTTTCTGTGTGTCTTGTGTACATTAAAAGAAGGGGTGGGTGGGGAATAGAGGTAAATACTCTTCACTAATGGTGCATGGAGAGTAGTGTAATCATTGCAATGAAACAAAATAAACTATCACTCAATTCACAATAAAAGCTTTAAAAAAAAAAGACTAGTCAGGCACTTGGACAACCTGCACATAAGTTTGATCTTATTTTATTCACCAAACACTCATGAATAGAGGCTGGTGAAACCCCTGGGGCAATGGCCCTTAGACACCTTTCACACCTGGACCTGAACTCACTCCAGGGATCATTTTTCAGCCAAACATAAGACAGACCTATAAAGTGAACAGCATCCTCCTCAAGGAATATGCTTCTCAGAACCAGAAAGGCAGCATTTGCCCAAAAATGAAGTTCAGAAGGGAGGAAGGAGCAGAAAAGGAAAATGAATGGGAAACCAGAGAGGAAGTAGAAAGAGTGCTATTACATTGAGAAGGCTGCAACTATGCAATATCATAAAACAAGATGAGGATAAATTGTTTAATGGGAAATTAATTTGCTCTGTAAACTTTCACCCAAACCAAAATAAAATGTTAAAGAAAAGGTTTTTTTTTTATCTGCTAGAATGGCTATTATCAGAAAAAAAGGAAAATAACAAGTATTAGCAAGGATGAAAAAAAATCAGAAGAAATGCATGGCTGATAGGAATATAAAATGGTGTAGCCACTATGGAAATTAATTTGGCAGTTCTTCAAAAAGTTAAATATGTGTTTAAGTTATTATATGTTCCTGAGTGTTTCTGTGTACATCCCTCTGCCAAATAAATAAATAAATAAAACTGTGAATGGAAGCAAATACTGTTGTATGATGATGCATGGATGAGATTGTAATGAATGCAATGAAACGATGGTGTAAAGCCAATGTTCTCCCATATAAACTATCACTCAGTTCACAATAAGAACTTACAAACAAACAAAAAAAAGTGAAACACAGAATTGTCATCTGCCAGCAATTCCACTCAAGATGATTTCCATTCTTATTTTCTATACTCAAAAGAATTGAAAGTAGGAACACAGATACTTGTACAACAATGTTCATTGCAGTACTATTAACAATAGCCCAAAGGTGGAAACAAACTAAATGTCCATCAACAATGAATCAGTAAATAAAATGTGGTCTATACGTACAAAGAAATACTACTCAGTCATAAAGAGAAATGAAGTCCTGATGTATGCTACAACATGGATGAACCTAGAAACCTTAATGCTGAGTAAAATAAGTCAGTCACAAAAGGACATTGTAAGATCCTACTTATAGGAAAGTTCTAGAATAGGCAAATGAACAGAGACCAAAGTGCATTAGTGGTTGACAAGATCTGTGGGGAGAGGGAAATGGGTAGTTATTGTTGAAGGGGTACTGAGCTTCTGTTAGCTCACGGTGATTACAAACAATTCGATTGTGGTGATGGCTACACAACATGGCAACTAGAATTAAGGTCACTGAATAATACACACAAAAATGGCTGAAATGGTAAAAGTTTTGTTACATGCATTTTACTACGTACAACAAAATTTTTATATAAGAAACAATTAAAAAAACAAAAGCTACTCATTGGGGTTCTGTCTATACCAGGCTATATATGGAAATCAATGTGGTGAATAAGAACACATAGAGAATCTTGATTGATAAGGAAGCCTTCCTGACTATGGCCTTTCACTGCTGCTTGTACTGCTACTATCGTTCTTGCAGTGTGATGAGTGATTGGTTCTGTGTGGGGAATCAAGGAAACCTTCCCAGGGCAGGTGAATTTTCAGCTGAATTCAAGATGAGGAGGACTTCCTTTAGTGAGAGTGAAAGGACATTCCAGGTGAAGGGAACAGTTTCTTCAAATGACTGTGTGGTGGATTGCCCAGAGGCTCTGGGGGGCAGGCTCCCCAAATGACGGGAGCTTCAGTATTTTCGTTAGACACTGGACTGAAATTCAGACTTTCAGAGCTGGGAGAAAAGCAGCAGCATGTGGGAAATCTCTTTGCCAGTTTCCTGAAGGGGTCGCTGCTACCCTAGCCTGTAGCTCCTGTTTCTGGACTCAGCCTGTCCTTCCCAAGAAAATGCCAACGACATCTTTGCTGGGGTGGTGGTAGGTTTAGACCTGCCTCCTCTGAGGAGTGGGCTCAACGGTGGCAGTGACCCCAAGTCTGAAGAAATCATCTGATCTCAATCCATGGCATTTGGAAGGAGGGGCATAGTGGGCATTGATAGCTCTCTGTCTCTGGGTCACTGCAAGTTTATTAAAATAAAAGAAACTGTGAGTAAATGCTGCCATCTGTGCCGTTCTCCCTCCTGTTTCCCCCCATTCTCTGTGCCCACCCCCACCCCTGCCAAGCAAATCAGGCCCCAGACTAGACGCAGGGTCTATAACTGCTTTAAAAACACACCAAAGACTTAATTCAAAATCCAAACTCCCCATGCTTCTGGGGCTTAAAATCCTTGAGTTCATTCCTCAGCATCTCTTCTCAGGAAGGTGGGGTGGGCTGCTCTGTGATATAGAGGTGAAGACCCCAAGGTCTACTCCATGGACTAGGAGGCCCCTAAGCCTCAAGTCCCACTGCGGGGCTCTGTGCCAAGAGACCCCGTGATCCATGGCCTCGAAAGGGCAGCTGTGATTTTTTTTCACATAAATATATCGCACTTAAATGAGTTTAGACAGCATGACATCAGAGAGTAATTAAATTGGTTTGGGTTGGAATTCCGTTTCCAATTCCTGAGTTCAGGTTTGTAAAAGATTTTTCTGAGCACCTGCAGGACTGTGTGTGTGTGTGTATGTGCGTGTGTGAGTGAGAGTGAGAGAGTGTGTGTGTCAAGTATTTTCACTGGAAAGGATTCAAAACTTGAAAAAAAAAAAAAAGAAGAAAGAAAAAAAACAAAAAAAAACTGGAGCACACAGGCAGCATTACGCCATTCTTCCTTCTTGGAAAAATCCCTCAGCCTTATACAAGCCTCCTTCAAGCCCTCAGTCAGTTGTACAGGAGAAAGGGGGCGGTCGGCTTTCTCCTTTCAAGAACGAGTTATTTTCAGCTGCTGACTGGAGACGGGTGCACGTCTGGATACGAGAGCATTTCCACTATGGGACTGGATACAGACACATACCCGGCAGACCTAAAGAGTCTCAAACTGAAACTGAAGAGAAAGCCTTTCCTGTTGCTGCTACTGCTGCCGCTGCTGCTTTTCAGGGTCCACTCCTTTCATGATTTTTCCTGCCAAACCAGAGGCACCTTCGCTGCTGCCGCCGTTCTCTTTGGTGCCATTCAGCGGCTGGCCAGAGGATGAGACTCCCCAAACTCCTCACTATCTTGCTTTGGTACCTGGTTTGGCTGGACTTGGAATTCATCTGCACTGTATTGGGTGCCCCTGAGTTGGGCCAGAGACCCCAGGGGACCAGACCAGGATTGGCCAAAGCAGAGGCCAAGGAGAGGCCCCCCCTGGCCCGGAACATCTTCAGGCCAGGAGGTCACAGCTATGCTGGGGGGGGCATCAATGCTAGGGCAAAGGGGAGCAATGGGCAAACAGGAGGCGTGACACAGCCCAAGAAGGATGAACCCAAAAAGCTGCCCCCCAAATTGGGTGGACCTGAACCCAAGCCAGGACACCCTCCCCAGACAAGGCAGACTGCAGCACGGACTGTGACCCCAAAAGGACAGCTTCCTGGGGGCAAGACACTCCCAAAGGCAGGATCTGTCCCCAACCCCTTCCTGCTGAAGAAGGCCAGAGAGCCTGGGCCCCCTCGAGAGTCCAAGGAGCCGTTCCGCCCACCCCCCATCACGCCCCACGAGTACATGCTCTCGCTGTACAGGACGCTGTCCGATGCTGACAGAAAGGGAGGCAACAGCAGCGTGAAGTTGGAGGCTGGCCTGGCCAACACCATCACCAGCTTTATTGACAAAGGGCAAGGTGAGGGGGTGGGGTTGCCAGGGCATGGCTCTTGGGGGGGGGCATCAGTATGCATGGAGGGACTTTCAGAGGTCTGACGCTGCACTGTTGGGAGACGATGTGTGCATCTGGCCTGGGGTGGGTGTCTGGGACTACCTTATGCATACCAGATCCTGGACTGATGGCTTGTCAGAGTTGGAGGGCTAATTGGGAATCATCAAAACCAATCCCTGCAAGGTCCAGTTTTTGTTGTTAAATGCCATCAAGTCGGTACTGACCCATAGAAACCCTGTATAGGGTTTCCGAGCAGCAGCTGGTGAGCTTGAACTGCCAACCTTGCAGTTCAAATGGCTTTGCAGTCTGGCTCATTAACCTACAGAGCCACACCAGGACTCCAAGGTCCAGAGGGGAACACTAAAGCCCAGAGAGGAGACAAGACCTGCCCAGGAACACACAGCCAGCTTTTGGCAGAATTAGGGATCAGATTCCAAAATCTTTGATTGCTAAGCCATACTCTGTACCTATATGGGTTGGCCCAAGTTTCCAGGCTCCAGAGGTTCCTAGGTTTTCTTAGGTAACAGAGAGATAAAGGAATCTCTAGGTGGTTTCTCAAGTTTGTCCTCAGGCTAGGAGCAGAGGAGGAAGGATAGGTGAAGACAGTAAGCAGGGCATCTTGGAGTCAGGTTGAGGTATACCGGGAGGCAGCAGACCGAGGGTCCAACTCACAGTGTGACCTTGAGAAAGTCTTTCTCCCCTGGCATCTCAGGCTCCCCATCCGTATAACTATGCAGACATCAGAATGGATGATTTCTGAGGGCCCTTCAAAGATGAAAACTTTATAGTCCTGCCCTGAAAGAGCTAAACATAGGTACTTTTCAACATTAATCCAAGACAATACCTGTTCTCCTCATTTCTCCCCCTACCCAACAGCTGTTATGGGCTTGGCTTCTTTTCTAAACTTGCTGTGTAAGTTGATTTCAGCAAGTCCCTCCTCCTACCAGGACCTCAATGGACCAGTGGACTCTTAAGGTTTGCTCACAGCTGATATGCTCTGCTTCTGGAAGTCTTAAGATTTTGGCTGTTGGGGGAGGGGTCAGAGTGGGAGAGGCTCCTCATTAAAGAAGGCCTGTAGGGGAATGATAGGGGGCAAGGGTTTGGGAGGCACTGAGGCAGCAGGTCTGACTGAGGTGGGGGAGGTGGCCTGGCTGCCTGCCCAGTCAAGAAAAGCTGTGACCCCTTGGGGGCTCATAAAATAAGTCCTTGTGCCCTCCAGCACTAAGGGAGCTTGAGGGGGAAGATGGAGAGTTTAAAGGCCTAATTAGTCACCTTCTAGAGAATATATGAAAGCTCCCCAATGGCAAATTGGTATTTTGGAAGGAGAGCATGATAGTTTGGACATACTAGTGAACTTCTTGTACACCCTTATAGTTTTATGCTGCCGAATCTCATACATACATATGCACATACACAGATACTTCTTACATATACACAGGAACCATACATATCACATACACTTTAAATAGTTATACAAGCCCAGTCAGACATATGAAAGGGCTTCAAAAAGTTCATGGAAAAATGGAATGAAAAGATAAACGAAAATTTCCACATACTTTTTGAGATCCCTCGTACATATAACATGCCACATACGTTACCTTTAATACTTATGTATGAACCCAATCATACATACACATACACATATACACATACACAGAAACTGTCACATAAAAATAGTTGCACATTCAGTAGGGTAAAACATATACACAACAAAATCGTTAGACTAGGGAGATGGATTGTAGATCAGTTTTGTCATTAACTCGCGTGTGAGCACAGGCAAGTCCCTTGCCCTCTCTGTACCTCATCTATAAAATGTAAGCAGTAAGATTTATTTTAAGGTAGAGTAGAAGCAGCTCAGGATTAGATGTAGAAAGTTTTAAGTTATAGTTTCAATTCTAGTTTTTCCTAGCTGGGTGACCTTGAGTAAGTCACCTAACTTCTCTGAGCCTCAGGTTCCTACTCTGAAAACAGGGAAAATAATAAAACTCACCCTACTTACCTCTCACAAATAAGGTGTCCAATTAGATCATGGAGTCCTGGTGTGGTGCTACAGGACAATACCCTAAAACGCAAAGTCAGTTTCAACTACAAGGTCAGAGGCTCAAACCCACCAGCCAGTCCTTGGGAACCCTATACAGGGTCGCTATGAATAGGAACCAACTCCATGACACTTAACAACAACAATTAGATCATGGCAGAGAGAAGAATGTGTAGAAGGCGGTTAGAAAGCTGACGAATCTCTGATCATTACCATAAACACCAGAATCACAGAGAACCACTTGGATCATCCACAGCCAAATCTATAGACACACACCCCTACTTGGTCTGCTGGGTAGGAAGATACCTCATTTTGAGGCTCTCAATGTGTGGGTCTTGGACCTTGGCAGAGTAGGGAAGAGGCTAGTTCTGTGTACCTCCCTTCAGATCGGGAGGTGACTGGCTACCTTGCTGAGGGTGCAGGGGATGACTTCTGGGTGTTCTTTCTAGATGACCGAGGTCCTGTGGTCAGGAAGCAGAGGTACGTGTTTGACATTACTGCTCTGGAGAAGGACGGGCTGCTGGGAGCTGAGCTGCGGATCCTGCGGAAGAAGCCCTCGGACACAGCCAAGCCAGTGGCCCCCGGCGGCGGGCGGGCTGCCCAGCTGAAGCTGTCCAGTTGCCCCAGCGGCCGGCAGCCGGCAGCCTTGCTGGATGTGCGCTCCGTGCCAGGCCTGGGTGGATCTGGCTGGGAGGTGTTCGACATCTGGAAGCTCTTCCGAAACTTTAAGAACTCGGCCCAGCTGTGCCTGGAGCTGGAAGCCTGGGAACGGGGCCGGGCCGTGGACCTCCGTGGCTTGGGCTTTGACCGCGCTGCCCGACAGGTCCATGAAAAAGCCCTATTCCTGGTCTTTGGCCGCACCAAGAAACGGGACCTTTTCTTTAATGAGATTAAGGCCCGCTCTGGCCAGGATGACAAGACTGTGTACGAATACCTATTCAGCCAGCGACGAAAACGGCGGGCTCCGCTGGCCACTCGCCAGGGCAAGAGACCCAGTAAGAACCCCAAAGCCCGCTGCAGTCGGAAGGCACTGCACGTCAACTTCAAGGACATGGGCTGGGATGACTGGATCATTGCACCTCTTGAGTACGAGGCCTTCCACTGTGAGGGGCTATGTGAATTCCCTTTGCGCTCCCACCTAGAGCCCACGAACCATGCGGTCATCCAGACCCTTATGAACTCCATGGACCCCGAGTCCACGCCACCCACCTGCTGTGTGCCCACTCGACTGAGTCCCATCAGCATTCTCTTCATTGACTCTGCCAACAATGTGGTCTATAAGCAGTATGAGGACATGGTTGTGGAGTCTTGTGGCTGCAGGTAGCAGCACTGATCCTCTCACTTCCTAGGATTAGCCACATCCCCTCCTCACGCTCCTGGAATTGCAGAGGGGTCAGGAAGTTGCAGCTAGGAGCGTCTGCACAGCCTGAATGAAAGAGATCCCACCAGCTTTACTCACTGTGTGACTTGGGCTAAAGGTTCCTTTGTAGCCACAAGGCCCCTGCCTGAGCATTTCTGCCCCTCTGCTGCTCTGCCTGCCAGGGAGACAGACTGAGTGAGACTGAGACCTAGGAGATGGTGCTTTCCAATGAGACTCAGCCCGTGATCTCTGCTTTTGATGGGCCTCCTTGGTCTCTGGGCCATCCAGGGAGAGCTGGTGCTATCCCAAGTTCCTCTTGGGAGAGCCACAGGTGCCACCTTCTCCATGAATCACCTTTGTGACAGGTGACATCCTGCCATCTGGAGCAGATGAGATGCTGATGGGGCAGGGGTGGGAGAGAGTGGGGGAGAGAGCTTAGGCAGGGGTGAGGCATGTGAGGCAGTTAGACTGTTAGATTAAAATGTACATTGATGAGATAAAAAGCAAAACTCTGCCTAAAATGGTGACAAAGTTCTTGTTTATTCCAGGGGGACCGAAAGACACCTCAAAGAATTACTGATCCAGAGAGGGGAGGTGGGTTGTCTTGCATGCAAACTTCATTTCCAGGGCCCACTTCCCACCCCCACTCCTAGAAACTGAAGCAGAATGGGGTAGAGAGTACAGGCTGAGCACCTCTAACCCCATTCCTGTTCCTTCCAAGGGCCTGCTGATCTGGAGCTCCATCTGCCCCGTTGGGGCCTAGCAACAGAGCTTGGTTTTCTGACATTCCTTAGTCAAGTTTGTTGTCTCTGAAATGGATCTCTAATTGGGAATATCATTACTTCTTTAAAATCATCCCCACTTCATTGTCTGCCCTGGCCCCTGGCTCCACTCCTGCATACTTAACAGAATTAACTGACCACCATTTAAAGGGCCATCCTCTGTCTCTCCACTGGGGAATCTGGGCTGCAGGCGACATCCTCCCTGACTACAGTGTCTTCTTGTTGCACTGACCACTGTCCTTCATATGACCTTGTCTGTGGCCCTGTTACCCCCCATATTGGCACCCTCACTACTTCTCACTGCTGACATGTCACTTTCCACTCTAGAAACCAAGTTGGAAGCTACACATTAGATAAGTAATCTCCCTAGTAACCCCAAAAGACCAATGCCAGACACATCTTGACAATATCTCCTGCTTTGGGGCTTGGCCCAGAGTCAATGCTTACTTCCCTTTCATTACTAGAATCATTTGGGAGGCATGGGACATGAACCCTTGGGAGAGGAACACAAGCCCCTCTGGTAAAGAAACTTGGGGATCTGGGTCTTTGAACTAAGAACTCAGGACCAGGTGCTACTTGGTTGAGGAAAGATACAAGGACCAAGAGAAGAGAGTCTAGGTCTCTGAGTTCTACCCAGGGGGCCTCAAATTTTTTCCCCACCTCTCTCCAGCTGGGTCGTTGATTCCTGGGGCTCCTAGCCAAAGGTATTTCAACAGTAGGGATTTTTGCCCAGCTTTGGGCAGACCTTGTGTCTTTTTCCTCTAGGCCTGAAACCTGGGCTGTCAGGAGCTGGGGGCAGTCTACCTTAGGGTTGCCTCCTTGGCTTAGAGGCAGTTACCTGTCCCTGAGAGGCCAGACTAAGCCTGGAGCCTAGCCCTTCTGGCCAAGCTTCGTTGTGTTTGGCTAGTGGTGGGGCTGGGAGCTCTGGAAGTAAACAAAGGAGCTGCCACAGCAGACAGAGTTCTGGTGTGTGTGAGAGGAGAATGAGCCTGGAAGGGAGGTATGAGGAAGCCAAGAGAGTGGGTTGTGGATACAGGGAGAGCAGTGTCGAAGCTGGTTGGCTGGAAAACCCAGGGCAGAAAGGCAGGGGCAAATGGGTCACAGGTGGGTTGGCTTTCAGACTCACTTATTTCCTGGGCTGTGTGTCCTTGGTTTCTTGGAAAGTTCTGACAGAACCAGAGCTGCTCCCTGCCTTCGGCCCATGAGAAACTCATGGAAGCGCAGTCACAGTTCCTTCTGAAGGCCTGGGCTTTGAATCTGCTGTTAGGGTTCTGGCTGATACCACCGAAGTGTCCTCTTTCACCTCAACCACTCAGACTGTGCTCATCCTCTCCATTCTTTCCCACCCAGGCCATGAAGAGTAGAGCAAATCAGTGTGGTGGGACAAGTACTTCTAGTCTACATCAGATCTGTTCAATGATCTCTTTAGGAAGCGCTCTCCATTAGGCACCCACCTTCAGTCCCAATTATAATAAGCTGCATACTTACAGAACATTCATACTTAAAAAGGTTCAAAGCTTATGTCATACTTTAGAGTTCACCAGTAGTCTCCTGTCCATGGGCTCATGGTTCTGAAGGGCTCAAAAGACTCCCCAGATTCAAATTTCAGATTTCTCACTTAAAGCTGGAAGCTTTGGGCAAGGAACTTAATTCTCTATGCTAGGTTTCTTCATTTCTAAAAAGTGGAGGGGGGGAGACAACATGGCTGAATCACAGGGCTGTGAGGATTATGGAAGACATTCAACATAATACTTGGGGCAGTGGTGGCACTCAATCGTTGTTAAGTATTATCATATTGCGTCTCAAATAACCATGGAAATCAGGTAAGGCAAGGAATATTATGCCCCATTTTTACAAATGAAGCTGAAACTCAGGGAGAGGAAGTGACAGCGGTGACCGTTTACTTGCAGGTCTCTGCCACTCTAAGGGGTCTTTGTGGCATTCTTGCTACTCTTTTGAACTTCCAGCTCCACTGACCCTTGTGCTGGTGGCAGTTGAACTACCTCCCAGGTCTTGGTTCTCTAGTCTTTACAAGTATCTCCTCCCTGAGAAGAAATGGATGCAGAGTTTAGGGTAGGGAAAAAGAGATGCTCTTATCTTATACCCTGCCATAGCCCCATGTCCCAGGATGATCCTGTTTCTTAGGCTTGAAACACAGAGCCTTGGGAAGCCTCTCAGACTTTACTTTGACTTCACAACTAGGTCTTCTGATCTGAAAACAGACGTGAGAAAGCACAATAGAGGATTGATCACATGTGCTTGGAAGTTAGACTGACCTGGATTGCATTCTGGTTTCCACTTTCCAGCTGAGTGACGCTGGGCAAGTTACTTAACTAACTTCTGTGTGAAGTAGGATGTGAGGTCATCTCACAGTTCAAAGACTATATATAGAAAGAGGTAAGATTCAAAGTCTGAGGCATGTGGAAAGGTTTGAATATAGTAGCTTTAGAGAAGAAATAGGCAGATTTGAGATCATAATAAAGGTTGGGCTCCTTTTACACTTTTCTTCAACAATATGTAATAATACAGATGCAGCCATGGAATAGATGGACAATGGCAGAATTAGGGTCATTCTATATGGGTTGGAGAGAAGAACGTTTGAGCACAGTATTTAATATTTGGCAAGAGAATAATTAAAGTGATAGGCCATAAAGTCTTAGATAGGGAAAGACATAAAGAAGAGAGAGTTGACAAACTATAAAGAGAAGGTCTGAATGGAGTAGGATTACAGGAATTGTAGGAGTGATGAATGAAGCCTAAAAGGATAGGAGGCTAAGGACAGAGAGAATGGCATATATTTAAATGTTCAAAATTAAAACAATTCTGGTGATGAGGTCGAGTAGGTAGTCATGGGAGTAGGCAGCTGAGGTACAGTAAAGAAAATGAGAGCCCAGATTCATGCTTGTGTATGGAGGAGTCTAGAATTATGGAAGGAATGTGGGTAGTGAGGAAAACTGAAAGGCAAGTACCTAGTCTTCAGTGAATAAGGGAGTGTAAGAGGGAATTTGGTAATTCCAAAAAAAGGAAAAGAATAGAGAGGGGTATAACAAGGAGAAGGCTTTTATTTTTACTTTTTTTTAGCAAAAGGCTGAAGAGTTGTCTGGAAGAACACTTAAAACATGTGGAAGACTGCAACTTTGCTGGTGAACCCAAGAGTAAGGCGTGAAGATGACTAAGTAAATCCCACAAGAGAAGGCTGCAGAGGTTGTAGTTTCTCAAAGAACTGGGTTCCTGAAAGGTTAGTGTACATAGAAAAGGTATGGTCAGGAAAACAGGAGTGTAAGGGAGTGTATTAAGGTGTCTGGAGATGAGAGAAGGAGAAGGGCAGTCTCTCCATATCGCTCTTATAGCACAATGTGCCTTGCTTTTTGTTTCTCTCATTCTGTCTTTTTTTAAAAAAACAGCTTTATTGAGAGACAATTCAGTTCATTTTTTGTGCTGTAAATGATACCATCAAGAAAGTGCAAAGATGGCTAAACTGATGGATGATTAGATGATTAGCATAATCTCTGAAAAGAATAAAGCTGAGTTTTCCAATTAAAAAAAAAAGTGACAAGATACAGAATGAGAAAAGATATTTTCAAGTTATTTATCTGATAAATGACTTTAATGTAGAATATGTGAGGAACTTTTACAACCCAATAATAATGAAACAAACATCCAATTAAAGAATGGGCATGCAATTCACTTATTTAAAGTTCACAATTTAGTGCTTTTAGTATAACCATAGGGCTGTGCAACCATCATTACATTCTAATCCAGAACATTTTCACATTCCCCCAATGAAACAATTAGCAGTCATTTCCCGGGGCCTGACTATCAATACTCTACTTTTTGTCTTTATAGATTTGCCTATTTTGGTTATTTCATATTAAAGGAATCATTTAATACATGATTTCCTGTGACTGGCTTTTTTTACTTAGCATAATTTGTCCTAGTTATCTGTTGCTGCAATATCAGAAATGCCACAAGTAGATGGCTTTAACAAACAGACATTTATTTTCTCACAGTTTTGAATGATCGCAGTCTTAATACAGGGTGCTGGCTCTAAGGGAAGGCTTTTTTCTTTCTGTCAGCTTTGAAGGAAGGTCCACGTCTCTTGTGAGCCTCTGCTGCTCCTGGGCAGTCTTCACGTGACTTGGCATTCCCTCTCCCCTTCCCCATCTCTGCTAACTGCCTTGCTTGCTTAATCTCTTTTATATCTTAGAAGACATCCGTTGAAGACAGACTCACACACAAAGACAACACATTCCCAAATGGGATCAAGCCACAGGCATAGAGATTAGGAAATGCAACACAGATTTTAGGGGGACATAATGAAATCCATAACATTCCATTCTTTGTCAGTCCCCCAATTTATTATCCTTGCCACATGCAAAATGCATTCTGCCCATTACATCATCCTAAAAGTCTTTAATCAACTAAAAGTTTAAAAATCATCTAAATCAAGTATGGGTAAGACATCAAGCATATTCCATCCTGGGGCAAAATTCCTCTTCATCTGAAAACTTTTAATATCTCAAATACAGATTATCTTCTTCTAAAATACAGTGGTAGAGTATGCACAAAGTGTACATTTTCATTACAAATTGGAGGAAAAAAAGGGTTAATTGTCACCAAGTAAGTCCAAAACTCAGCAGAACAATTTACATTAGTTCTCAAGGTTTAAAATTTTTTTAAATTCAGACTCTGAACATTGGTCATATCCTCTGAATACTGGACGAAGGTCCCTTGACCCT